TTTAATAGTTAAGGTCCTTCGGACCAAGCGAGTATTTCCTGTCTTAAATCTCTCTTTACGTTTATTGTTTACCACGTGTTAGCTTAGAAAGTTTGTTTTCTCCACATCTGGTATGTTCCGTTGGCAACTTTCTCGCGAGGGCGGCTAAAACCCTTCCTGGTCCACCAACCGTCCCATTATCCAATCGGAGACGGTGTCTACTGCCCTCACTTCCTTAACCAAAATTGTCATCAACAAATCCGATAGTCCCGTGTCCTTAGACACACCCACCCCTAGCTTTCCTCAGACACAGTATCGTCAGTAAAACTTCACTTATTCTGTATCCTTAGAATAGTCAACATATCTATATCGGTCTCTACCCTTATAAGTCGCGTACTTAATGTATTGTTGTAACTAAGTCTTACATAACGTGGTTGGAGTGAATTGTGATTTATGCTAATTCAGTGCGTGTTACATTGTGATTGGTGAATTCACAATAAAGGTTGATTAAAACAAAGTTAATTGTTGTGTTACGACTCAACTATATTTTATTTCCACCAACCAACCCTAAAAATTACGTGACACATACATAGTCACGAATAAACTTTTATCATCAATTTTTTCAAGAATTAGTTCGATTGAATCACCATGAACTCTGCTAACCAGTGAAATTTTGCCACATTTCTGACTGTGCGCATAAATGGACTCGTTATTCGGAAGGTGAACAATTTAAAAATTAAAGGACTGTGTCGCAAAGTTTAAATATTATTGAGAATGATCGTACGATGGCAGCTATTGGTATCGTTATCTGATAGTATTGTGAGTTTAAAAGTGCTTGTTGAATTTTATACGCATTGAATGAATAAAATGGGTTTTGTAGGGATTTTCTTGGAATATACTTATTCAATATTTAATATGTTGCAGAAATTATAGTTTTGGAAACATTACTTTCGAGGTTTTTCTTTTTGAAGATTACTAACTAATCTTAAAACTAGAACCTTATGAATAAAAATTGCGAGAGAGATTTTACCTTAAAAAAAAGTTTGTTATTCCAATAATTTTACGACCTAGGAAAAGAATAATGCCTAATTGAGATGTTTAAAAAATGAATAATGGTGAACACTTGGTAATTGAAATTACTTTCATTTTTCGAAAGCAAGAGTGTTTCTTAACAAAATCAGAGAGGCCTTAATTCATATATTAATTGTCCCTTTCCTATCGCAATTCACATTGTTTGGTACTTCTTTTAATACTACTAATAATACTTTAATAATAATGTATACATTTAATACTACTTCATCTTCCAAGTATTAGCACGATATCCTGAAGCCAGCTACAATGCTGGCGAAATGTCGGAAATCTTTTTTCTTTGGACACGGATCTGTCCAGGAAGCTTCAAACTGTCTTAGCTAAAGTAATATTTAAATGTAACAGTGCCATGTGATAATATAGGCTGCAAAAGCATCGAGACAGAGTTGTTCAAATTTCGAAATTCGTCGATTTACTCATTATTATTTGTTAGTTGCTATTGGTTTCTGTTTCTCTCAATTGATTTCTATTTTACGTAAAATTTTATAGTTTTACCTTGTATATTAATACTTATGTATATATACTTACAATACATGTGTACATATATACAAGAGATTGTAATAAGTTTTTAGCATATTATTAAATTATTTTAAATTAGTCATTCCTAATTATCCTATTGATGCGAGGACATTTGAAGCATGATATTGAGAACTGAAATAAAGTGAATTGACTTTAACTTATAAAAAGTATTGAGGCATTGAAAAACTTACTGGCGTTGCTTACTTAAAATATCTTACCACGTGCTTTATTGTAATCAGCATAAATAGGACACTAACCACTAATATATCATGCACTTTTTATAATAAATCAAATCAATATTGCGTTAATAGGCACAAAACAGAGCATCTTTTACTGATTACTTAACATATATTGAAATCGAAATATCACAATATTATAAAGAATTTTTGTGAGAATCGATTCTGGAACTTGTAGTGCTAGTAGCAATCTTCAGATGATACGTTTGTTATTACCGCGGTATAGGTTATGTTATGATTTAAAAATTTAAAGAAACGACAAAATGAATATTGTCAGCAGACAGTGGACTCGAATTTTTAAGACAGATATAATGCATAATCAATTTTGTATTCTTGGACGAGCCCTTGCTTACAAAAGTGCTTTTTCTCTTGATAAGCTATATCCCACAAGCAATTTAAAACTGTTCACGCCAACCTTTGTAAGTTTATTATAATTTATTAACGTACTAGAATCTACTATTTTGTACATTTTATTTTGTTGATTTCACGTACGAAATGTCTTAATTATTTATTCAAATCCTTGTTTGGAATATTTTCTATATTTATGTTTAAAATAAAATTAACATGTATCTTTAACTGAACAATTTTTTAAAATTATCTTATACGTTATGAAATATAAAGGCTTATGATTAAGAATTATTTCTACTGTATAATTGCATAACATTCTCAGGTTCCTGATGATCCAAATGCTAAATTTGATGGCCATATACCAATTAAAGAACTTGATATCACCTATAGTCGTAGCAGCGGTGCTGGAGGACAGCATGTAAATCGCACAAATAGTAAAGTAGATCTAAGGTTGCATGTAGAAAGTGCTACGTGGCTAGCGGAGAGTATTAGAAATAAATTATTGGAACAGGTTTGTAATTTTTCACAACTACAAACAAATTTTACAGCTATAAGTATTAATTTCACATAAGAAAGGTTTTAAATAATGATATCATTACAGTATAAAAATAAATTATCTAAAGAGGGTTACTTAATAATCAAGTCAGAGTTAACAAGATCTCAACAATTAAATTTAGCTGATGCTCTTCAAAAATTGAGAGAAATAATATGGGAAGTGGCAAAACCACCATCAGAAATACCTCCTGAAACTTTGGAAATGAAAAGAAAACAGCATCTTCGAGCAGCAAGACAAAGGCTTTTTGAAAAGCGAAGACATTCTGAAATCAAACAATCTAGAGGAGCTCCTACTATGGACTTTTAATCTTCTTTATGTTATATATTGTACATAGAACAATGTACTTTTCAATAAATGAGATATGATACAAAATGTGTAATCATAAAATATATGTACGTATTATTGTAATAGTAATGATTTTGAATATTAGTGATTTTTAATATTAGATGGTGGCTTTCTTAATTTTTATTAATTTGACTTTTATTAATTTTTATTAATTTCTTTAAATCTATATTTAATAGACATTAGAAAAAAAACAATTCAATTAATTAATAATTGTCATTCTGATGTAAATATTGAATGCCAATATGTACCATTATTCGTATGTACATATGTAAATAAGTATTACATTACATAAACTTGGAATTCTTTTAAAAAATTGATATATTACGATTTAGTTACTATAATTTCAATTAAATTTTTTAATTTGATATGTATTGGTTACAACAGAAGTAGAAAACATGTATGAATCAAAATTTCGAGTAATATTTCAAAGGCCTTCTTTTGAGCCTATGATTCGAAGAAAAATAATACACTTACATATACAATGTATGAAACTCTGTTTCCTTGACAACGTGCTCAACGTAAATCAAAACATAACGTGGAAAGTGGACGAAAAGTATTGAGATTTATTTAAAACTTGCCTTTCGAAGAAAAATGTCATTTCGTGACTTGAGAAGTACATAACAACCTTTTTTAAATAGATGTTACAATATAACGTATGCTTCTACGATAATTATATTTATTTTTTTGATAGATTTTACAGAAATGATGCGAGTCCTTGGTTATCCTAGATTAATTTCTGTTGGAAATTTTCGACTGCCAAATTTTCCACTGGTTGCTGAAATTCTTGTTTGGCTGCTCAAAAGATTTGACCCAGATGCGGATATATCTAGCGAACATAATACCGAAGAAGAGCGTATTTCATTAATACGTGCAGTTGCTGAATTTATGGTAATAAAACATGCAGTTTTTAATTTTTTTTGTTTTATATTTGATATTTAGTTTTATATGAAAATAAAATGTTTCATTGAATTTTATAATTTATATTTTTGACATCTATGTTTATTTCTTGATTATTATTTAATTTTTAAGCATGCATAGAAAAGATACTTAACTTAGTTTGTAATTTTAATTTTCTCAGGAAGTATCAACGTCTTATTAACGAAATTATAAAAAAATAAAAATAGCAAATTAATATTTGTATTTTTTAATGAATTAATATTGTGCTGTTTATACTATGTTGTTTTTATATTTTTATACTGAAATTTATCATTGTCAAATGATTTTAATACAGGCTTTAAAAACAAATGTCAAATTAAATACAAAAAAATTATACCAAGCTGATGGTTATGCTGTAAAAGAGTTACTAAAAGTAGCCACATTACTATATGATGCACAAAATAATAGTATTAATAACAGTATAATGTCTGATGATAATTTTAGTACAGTTAGTTTTGACATTTCCAATAAAGTAAATGAATTGAAATCAACTAGGCAGTTAGCCAGTCAGTTGACTGTTACTGGTGCATCACTTTTTGACTTATTAGGTCGTGAAGTTGATCTCAGAGAGATTCGTAATTCAAAAGTTGCTAGACAATTTGACATCACAGAAATTGAGATGGCCTTGAAAAGTGTTATAGAAAATGTACATAAAGAAATTGATGATACCAAAAAACAAATTGAGAACGTTAAGGTATTACCACGTTGTCATTTTATTCTTGGAACGTTAAAATATTCTTTAGTAATTTCTCTAATCTCTAAATGTTCTGTTATAATTTCTGTAATGATTAAAGGATACAGAGCAAAGTTTGGATACAAGAATCGAAAGACGACGTGCAGAGCTTGATAGAAACCAAAAGAGATTGCAAACATTAAGAAAGGTACGTCCAGCTTTCATGGAGGAATTTGAGAAACTTGAAGTTGAATTAAGAGTTTTATATAACGACTACATTCAAAAATTTCGTTATCTTGCATATCTTGAGCATCTGTATGAAGATGCAGCTAAGACAGAACAAGAAAGATTTGAAAGACGGTACATACATAAATAATAAAAATTAATACTTACTATGCAGAAAACATAATATAATGTTTTCCAACTCATAATAGGCAAGAAGCAACACGGAAACAATTAGAAAAAATGAGGTCAGAAGACGCTAACTTTGAAAGTATAATGGAAGGAAATGATTCCATATTACCTATTAATCTTCAAGAGCCTCCGCCTCCTCTCGCTGATACAGAAAAACAAAATACCGAGAAAACAACACCAAGTAGTCGATTGAAATCAGGTAAAAATATAGTGCAGTTTTCTTCTCAACATTTTTAAGAGCTTGTTATAATATGTAATAACTTTAACAAAATTAATATAATAGCTATTAAAACATGTATAATAACTATTAAAACTTCTCAACATTTTTAAGAGCTTGTTATAATATGTAATAAATTTAACAAAATTAATATAATAGCTATTCAAACATGTTTATAATACAATAGCTGGTCGGTCATCAAAAACACAAATATCACAGCGTCGTATTTATGGAAGTATGTCTGGACGTCAGAGAGGAACTATTCAAGAATCAAATGACAGTGGTGGCTCGCTAGATAGTGACAGTGACTTGTTAATCGATGGTGATCTCGATGACGATGATGATGATGATATTCTAGACTCTGTAGGAGGACCAGAAATTGGGAATTTTGATTTAAAGGTTGGACAAGAAAAACGAGCCGTTAGTAAGCTAGATCATTCGGATGAGGATTTTTAACGATTACAAAAAACAATTACAAAAATTTCAAAATATACCGTCTATGTAATTATCGATCTCTATACGCATATTTTTACAATAACTGTAAATAGGTGTCAATAAAAGGTAATATATTATTAGTCGTCGTGATCGAATAATTTTGACGGTGGTAAAAAATACTTAAGATATATATATATATATATATATATATACACAATTATTGTATATATATGACATACGCGTGTTAAATAATTTGAAATTCAATTATTCATATAATTGTACATGTACTCCAGACTTATATTTACGAAATATATTTTCAAGGGAATCAAAATACATATTGTCGTCGTATAATATTTATTAACTTTCTCAACATGACCAAACGGCATGTTGATTGTGGCTTAGCACCGATCACATGTACGTATTCACCTATCCTACATGTTGTGTACGTAAATGTATGTACACTTCAGTGTATACACATATATACATAAATGTATGTGCGCGTAAAAAATGTGACATTATGAAAGAAATAGAAACAGTTTGCAATATTCATTGTCATAACGCTCAAATCTGTAGTCTCTTATCTCTAGCTGACCGTAATACTTCCTCCTTTGTTACATCCATTCTGAGCACAATTAATAATCACATTTTTCTTGAAATGTAGCTCCTATTATGTAACAACGTTTCCTGAAATCACTTTAAAGGGCTGATAAAAACTATTCGCGAGGCAGTTCGACAACAAATAAAATTGTAAAACGCAACTAATAAAACGCAACTAATATTAATCCATGATAAAAGACGGACGAATTCTTCCTAGAACTGAACGTTCTTCGTAGTGTCAATAACCGATCGGATATAAATCGACTATGTTTAAACGGCATTTTAAAAACATTTCGCATTCTACGCGTTTACTATCAGATTAAATACTAGATGTTCTAGATACATATTATACATACATAAACTACGACTATAAGTATTGATCCTATGGATATGCGTACGTTTTTCTTTATACGTTGTGCGGATTTATAGGTGTCAAAAAAAAGGAAAGAGAAACGTATCAACAAGACAACAATGTAATATCAGATATCTTACATTATAGCCGATAATAGACCGTAGACCGTAAACATAGGCCCTGCTTGGTAACTTCTACATTCCTATTACTATGTAGGTAGTCGGTTTCATGCAGCTCGGCTTCGTTCGAACGAAAAGGAAACTCGTACATAAATATAATACCGTATAAAATCGTGAAAGAAGCACCATAGCGTAAGAGATACAGGATCGCTCGGGAAAGTCATTCGTCATGTAAGTATTTTCCCGATCGATCATGAGTCTTCCTCACGTAGAAAAATATTATTCGTCAGCTTTCGAATGAGCATCGCGCCTTTCAGAATGCTACCGGCTACCACACTTCATTTCATCATTTGGCTCATTGTTAAACAGGCACCGTTCTCCGTGTTTCCAAAACGAGATTTATCAGGCGTGGACCGCGAAAGGTAGAAAAAACGTGTTATGGTACTCCATAAATCCCGAATTTCTCTGCAATTCTCTTCTCTCAGTCGAAACTGGATTTCGCTGGAGGAAAACTACGGGCCACCGTAGTTATAGAAATAGGTTCTTGCTACCTTTGGGGTACCAGTAAAATTACTAATATCCCAAAGAGTATCGATAATAGTCTTTCGCTACCTGACCGATTTTAACACGGGGCTTGCTTTTATCCGCGGCGTCATCGCCGGCACTGGTTCTAACTTTGGTAACGAACAATCGGTGCTTAGGTCTGTCCAGATTTTGCCAACGTTTTCGGCCAGTCTATCCTTGTACTTGTAGGCCGTTCTATCGACTACCGATTGAGTCTTTATACAATCATCACCGCCGAATTCGCAGACCCGATAATGATGCAAAATTGCGGCGTCCGATGGAACGTTCAGAGTTCCATGCCCCGGAATAAATTCCCAGACAAAATGATTACCAGCTTCCACAATGTCTTGCGGCTTGCAAATATACTTCGAGCGTTGCTTGTGCGGATGCAGTTTTGTTCTACGTCTGGTTTTCTTCAGAGTAATCAAACCTGCCTCTATGGGAGTTCGACTGGCCATCACGAAAGGATCGTCCACCCACTGCAGATAGAAGAATGCGTTTTGAAAAGAATACGCTCCGGTGGATTTTGTATTTGTACGACTGCTCATCCATCTAAAATATAACATTTTTATTTTTATTTATATTAATTGAAAAATATAGTGATTCTTATTGATATTCGAATACCACGATATTCGAGAAATTATTGCTTTATATGCCTATTTATAACAATGTCGCTGAACCATCATTTTTTAATATATTACATTTACATTTTTTAATATATTAAAATACTTATTGCAGTTAGTAGAAACATAAAATGTAAACATTAAATAATGACGTCATTTAAGATTGCAAAAGAATGTCAACTAATGAGTAAATTACATGAATTTTATATAAAATATGTACATATACAATATTATAATGTACGTATCTAGGATATATAAAATTTATACATATAAATTTGAATTTGATATGTTTGAAGTATCTCCATATTATTAAAAAAAACAATTGAGTCGATTAGATTATTATGACAAATATATAGAGCAATAATCTCTCGTCTCTAAATCGGGGTACACGTATATCGATGAGTCGTGTATAAGACTTTGTATCAGAAAATATCGTAAAACTACTGTAAAAAACTGTAAAATAAAATATTGAAAATATTATAGATATATTTGGTTGTAATATAAAGGCCGTTATATAGTGCTGTCGGTTATTAATTTATCTGCATATTTCATTAAAATCAATATGATCTGAGAGTTTGAAGAACTTTGTCTTGTAATAATTTTAATGCTTTAATTTCCCTGAAACAGAGTGTTTTTTTTTCAATGCAAATATTCCTACATATTTCATACGAGTCATAATTTACAGATGTGAATATTGTGTTTGAATGGCAGAAACACACACAAAATACTTTTTATGAAAGTGAAAAACGAATCTTTACACCAATCTGTTTTTATATTAATAACTATTTTTTTTTGTAATTAAATATTTCCCTCTTAGATTTCTCCATTTAAGTTTAATTTAGTTTATTTAAAAAGTTTTATATGTGTTTCAATTTTATTCTAAAAAGTATCTGTAAGGGACAAAGAAAATATGTAATATGATGCTGTAACAAAAGATCATGCATACTAATCAAAACTTTTTCATGTCTTGTTTGAGTTTGAGATACTCTTTAGAAACATATAGTTGAGTCGAAACCGACCAGAAGAACGCAGTTAGTTGTATAAAATTACATTTAACTCCGATCGTATGTTAATTAATCATTGTTCAAAATTTTAGTATTTTAGTTTTAAACATCTGGCACATTCACACATTACGTATAAAGAAATTAAATTTAATATATATTAATAATATATAAAATAATATATAAATAAATATTAAGAAAAACAAGTTTAATTATAACAAATTAACAAATTTTCACCTAATGAGATCAATGATCGTGTCGTTGTGCCTCGGTATAATGAACTCGTCGAGGTCCACCAACGCTACATATTCGTATTTGTACATAGATCGATAAAGGCAATCGTTCAGGGCAGCGAACAGTCCCTCCGTGCGAATTTCTCGCTGCGAAATCATGTCCAAATGATGCCAAGGTAACACGGTCACGAGACCTTTAGCTTCGTAGTACTTAAGAGCACATCCAGCCTCCGTGCCAACCGTGTCGTTGTATAGAGTCACATGGCTAGCGCCAAGCAGTCTGTATAACTCAATGAACTCTATTAGCTGTAACACCTAGAAAATTTGCACTCATTAACATTTTTACTGTCACGACTAAAAGTAACATGTTTTTCCTACTTATTTCTTTCTTTTCTTTACGTTAATTTAATCATCGTAAAATTCAGTTATTGTCCACATGAATGCTTGTACATCTCATTCAGTTAAACCCTGTATATTTACAATTTACATATTGCTATATGTAGTTTAAATATAAATGAATTCACCGTTTCTATTAAGCGCTGTAAACTCTAAAAGCATTTGAAATTTCATGCAAGATTTACTTTATAATAGATAACTGTCCAGAAACCTACTCGTACATTTACAAATTCTGATTAAGATTGATGAAGTTGTTTGACTTCAAAATTGCGTTCGTATGAGTGTGTGTCAAGTTCCTTAACACATTTGCTACCAGCGTAATATATACAGTGAAGATTAATTTAGATTTAACTTTAACCTACACAACCTAATAAACGAGCATGTAACCGACACGTTTTGTAAAATAAGATACCAGAAATAATGAAATAATGAAATAAAATACCAGATACGGATTTGTATTAAACTTATACTGTATTATTAAATATATTATACAAACGCATAAGGACTAAATGATCTATAGTGAACACTTTGCTCTAAGTAATGAACACGTAAATGCGTTAATGTGAAATCCTTTGCATTCAAATAAGCTGACCTTGTTTGAGTATCTATTGAAAAACGAATAGCTAAAATGGTATAAGTATAGAGTGGACTCGATTTGAGGAGCCAATATCAACAAGCACGTAATTAGAGAAAATATTATATTATTTAGCAACTATTGTTCTTTTCATGTTAAAGAATAGTTAAGGTGTGTTTAATTTCACCCGCACGTTGTAAAGTATCTTAGTCGAGCAAAATAACAGGTTCACATTGGCAAATGTATTTACATACTTGAATACAGGTGATTCGAAATCGAAAGATTTGATTAATAAGAATCAACGTAGAAACCTAAAAGGATATTTCAAATCAAGCAGATAATGGATTTACATCGGTAAACTGGTTTAAAGTTGGTTAAATTTAAATCGTTTGAATAAGGTAATCTGACTAATCTGAACAAATTTAACAGTATACTATCTTGCTTTCTATCGCCTCGACAGTGGCAGCATTCTCGACATGAATATTTTATCTATCAGGTAACGATTATGTACATACACCGATTGTGTGCTCGCATTATGGCAATGAAGTAGTTATTCTATAGCTGGCAGCCGAATTGTACTATCCATATGATAATAAAAAGATAATAGATATCGATTCTTAATTATACACTCTTATGTATTCAGTATCACCTTCTTCTATTATTTTTATTGTTATCAGTTAGGGATTCACATGCGTAGACGTTCTTTCAATATCTAGTATA